GTCGACCATTGATCGGCCAAAATTTACACTTGAATTAAGTATTGAAAAAAGTTGGGTCAATTTTTCGCTCCAAAAACTCAAAGACTATGTCTCAAAGGTTTACTAAATTTCAACAGGTATACGGATTCAGAGTAAGAGCTGCAAGTATTGTTCAACGTTGAATTGTTTACCTCCATCATATTATACAGGTAATACTTATCACAAGGATTTATTTTGTCCAATGAAACATCGTATTAATTTCAATTGGACGAAACACCTTGGCCGATCGATGGTCATTTGGCCGATGAATGGTCGATCACGTTAGACTTAAAATTGACCAGAAAAAGTAATTCGTAGTAAGAGACCTCACGCAATTTAATTCGGCCTCCACAAGAGGTTCCTGTCCGGATAACGAAGGGAGAGAAAACAAAGAATTATTTAGCCTAAACGCCGAAACTTCTCCAGTTAACGATGAATATGATCAATATTCCGACCTCACTTAGTATTTATATACACTAATTTTGGCCAATGAATCGTCTCTCTTATCTATTTCTACCGATCTTATTGTAGTAGTATCTTATCCTACACCATTTTGACAAAGTCATTTAGGGGTAGGGCTAGCTCAATTCTGTCGGTTCCGACACATACCGACGAATCTTGTAGGAATGGAATCTGAAATATCCTGGTCTCACATACAAATTCAAATGCAGTGATAGTTCACCAAATAGTTCGACATAAAATACACACCCGACAAGTACCCGACAATTTCAGGAGAACTATTGGCTGCCCGACACAAGGATCGTGACTTGATTCACCAACAGCTTTTGACGCCTAATCATTGGACGAGGATCTTGTCGTGGAGCAACATTGAATTAACATTTGACATGTAGGGGTTGCCATTGGACAGTTAAATATATGTCATCGGTTACACCACAACTATTCGCAAAATCCCATTCTGCAAAATGGAAAGCGTGCCCACCAAACAAACCATCCAGGAGTCGTTTCGTGGAGCGTCGACACGACGAACATACCTAACGTACCAGATGCAATTCCAAGAGTTCTGCGTGTCACACAAGCACGGTCTCGTCCCTGCTGCAGCCACGACAGAGGACTGCACCGACTTCTTTCACCATCTCTACTCGCTTGGTCGCAAACCCCGTACCGTCAACTTCGCCAAAACTTCCCTGGTGGCCTACTTTAAGGATCAGCATGTCGAGCCCAACCTGGCCCAAGCACCTTTGTCCAAGCAATACGTTGTGGGACTTCAAAAGTACAATCGACAAAACAACGTCGACGATGTAGAGAAGGCTCACCCGCTTACTATCGACGAGCTCTCAACCCTCATCAACGGATTTGCCAGACTGAACCCATTCGTCGGGGCTATATTTCGCTGCTTGTTCTCCTGCTGCTACTTGGGCTGCTTCCGCATTAGCGAAATGTTGGGCCTCATATGGGGTGACGTCTCCTTTGGCAAGTCAGCGCATGGTCCATACGTCTCGGTTCGCTTGCGCTGGCACAAGAAGGCAAGTGTTGAGAAGGAATGCCAAGTATACCACTTGGTCAATGAGGACTCATACCCATGTCTTCGTGTGTGCGGGCTGTATGAGGACTACGTCGACAATATTGCGGCAGACGTCCAAGGATGCCTTTGTATTCCCGCATGTGACGATGCTCCCAAGTGGAAACGTTGACTGGTTCAAGGCAATGGAGCAAACCTTTGTGCGCCGACAGCTCAACGACATTGTCGAGTCAAGTCCTGGGTTACCTGTCGGGATATCCCTGCACAGCATGCGGCGTGGTGGTTGTTTCTACCGCGTGTTTGAGTCGCCTGAGCGGCGTTTTGACTTCCGGGAGCTGATGGCCTGGTGTCGCTGGGGGGATGCAAAGACCTGCTGCGAGTACCTTGTCACAAGAACATTGAGCAATGCCATTGACCCGCGTTTGTTGCTTGAGAAACGGTCGCTGGTTCCAAGTGGTGTTCATGGTGGTAATCTTGGTGGGCATGTTACAGCGGACAACATCGCAGCTGCGGTGATGAAGTGTCTGCGAGTGGAGTCAGTCTTGTCGCCACACGTTGGGCTGCCCGTGGCAAAGCGGCAGCAGACAATGCAAGAATACGCGGTACCGAAGAGTATTCCGACTGCTCGTTCAGGGAAGAATGCATGGGAGCAATGATTCTCAATGGATCCCAAGCGTGGTGTTTAGTGTGCCCTCAAGGACTATTCCAAGGAAATGGTCAAGAGTGACCGTCGAAAGTACTCCGAGTGGCAGACCCTGGCGACTGCTTTCAACAAGTATCAGAGCTATGCTCAGTTTGAGAATGATTACGGCGGTCATGCAGATTCGTACTGGGGTTTGCTTCAAGAAGTTAGGAAGAGAAAGCGAGAAAATAGGTTGTAAGTTGAATATTATTGTGTGCGTAGTTCGTTAAATTGCTAATTGGTTCACGATCGAATTGCAATAGACAAAACAAAATACTTAAAGCCTAGTCTATCAAGGCAAAGGATAACCTTTGTACTCCGTCAACAAGAACCCCATTAACCCATTGCCTCGGTCGATTCCCTGAATTGGACTGTGCCACAGAGGAACCGAGGTGTGGGATGGTGTAGTTGACGGCCTTGGCAGCCCCCCGCCCAAAAGCAGGTTTAAGACGAAGTTGAGTGTTAGTGCCAAATTCGACAATGAACGATTCAAGTTGATACAATTTCATCATGTTTATACGAGCATGACAGGACGAGCATGACAGGACGAACTTGACAGGACGAGCTTGACAGGACGAGTATGAGATCCGCGCACAATAGGACGAGAATTTCAACCAATCAGAACGTTGTCGGGTAAATTTGTCGTGTGAGAGGATAAGGGATACATAGTTACTCCTAACCAGGTTTGCTAAATATAGGAATGCGCCGCTGCTCGTTGTAGTTATGTTTACACATGAGTAAGTGGCATTGCACCTTACTTCATGCTACCCTCACCATACCTACGAAAGACTTACCCTACGGACACAGTAGGTCTTCATTCTAGGTGTATATGTGAGCCCTTACGCTTTCACTGTACCCTTCCTACTTATATCCAATAGAATCGCTGTCGGAATGGGGTGTCGGATTGAGTATCTTGTCGGAATATTCATGCTGTCGGGATGGAGCGATTCCGATCCCGAGAAGCCGAAAACGGCCCTCCTTTGGGCCGTCAAGCCACTACCCCGTTCCCCTCTCCATGCCGGCGTAATCCACCAGCTGTTGACCAGCGGTTTCAACCAGATGGCTACACCAACACCCCATTTACGGCGCCCATACCGACACCAACTGGCGCCACTAACCTGCCCCCTGTCCCCGATAACGATGGAACGGGACAAGGCGACAAGCGCGGCTTCGTTTACAACGCGCCGGCGCTCCATGACCCGCTCTCGTTCAACGGCTCGACCAAGTTGGAGTGGCGGACATTCTTTCGCCAGTACAACAAGTACCTGGACCAAGTCAACGCCAAAGGCTCAAGACCCTTCGTCATGCATGTCAACGCGTGCATGGATGTCTTTACCAAGAGGCGTGTGGCGATGTGGGACATGGCCAACCGCAACTATTGTGGTGTTTGAAGAGGAGCCTCAGGACCTGGAAGTGCTCAACAAGCGTTTGACCACGGTGATCCGACCAAGCGTGGGTCTTGGACCGAGAATGCAAGTCAGTGGTCGACATCATAGTCAAGGCGATCAAGCCGCTTTGCCTGCAGAAGTCGGTCCAAACCCAGGTGGACCTCCAACGTAACAGGCCGTCGAAGTCCAACGAGTACCGTTTTGTTGACTGGCTGTACGTGCATACCGCCGGGTACCACTTGTATGCCCCGGTGGAAGACGAGAAGACTTCGGCACCCTCTTCGACACCCTCTTCGACGGACCTTCCCGGTGCGCCCTAGCCCCCGAGCAAGACAGCGCGAAGTACAAGCGAAAGAAGGCGACCTGCCTCAAGTGCGGCAGCGAGAACTACAAGGTGGTAAACTGGCCCAGAGCGCGCCTGGCGAATCCGAGCGCCTGCACAAGGAGCAAATGGACAAGTGGGAGAGCGCGCGCAACAAGAAGGTGACCAAGCTTCAAGGCAGTGCGAACAAGTCCCTCGGCCGCGAAGCCATCGTGTCCGTCACGACGACCCTACTCGACACCGGCTACAACGTTACCTTGGTGACAGCCGGTGTCATGAAGTCCCTGGAGCGAGCCGGCGTGGAAGTCAAGGTGACTTCGCTGGAGCCATCCGTGATCCAGGCGTATGGCCAAGCACCTGCCCTCAAGGCCGACCGCCAAGTGCAGTTCAAGTTGGTCACCCTGGACACCCCCTGTGGCCCTTTAGCCCTGCGTGGACTCAAGGACTGGGTGGACTCTTCCTCCAACACAACAGAGCTCCTGGTCAGCCGTGCTGTGATGGAACGGCTGGGCTTTTCTGAAGGCGAGTTGCTCAGCCACACATTTGCCAAGCAAGAAGTCTGGGATGTCAGCGACGTGGACAAGCCGTCTGCGATGGCAAGTGTCAGTCGTCTGGCTCAAGTGGCAGCCTTAAACGACGAGTGCGGTGATGACGGCATGCACTGTGCCACCCCCAACATCCAGGTCCCATCTGCTGAAGCCGCAGAAGGCGAGCGGAACAGGCGGCGAGCGGTGGTTGAAGCGGAATTTCAAGACAAGCTCCGTGCCGCCAAAAACGAAGGCTTGACCGCAGACCTCTTCGAGTAGCTGCGACTCCTCCTGGCCAATCACGGTGATGTATTCCGCCTGGAGATCGGCCATGACGAGCCGATCAAGGTGGAGCCGCCGTGGGTGCGCATCACGCCTGGCGCTGTCCCTGTCAAGTGTGGCCTGCGACGATACCCCCCAGCCCACGTGGAGTTCCTGAAGACACATGTGCGCGAGCCGAAGCAGCCGGTCTGGTTTAGCGCACCGCTCAACATGGCCTCGGCGCCGCGCATCGTCCCCAAGAACGACCCTAGCGACTTCACATGACCATCGACAGCCGGCCCATCAACGCGTGCACGGAGCGACCTTCAGCAGTTTGTGTGCGCGACCAACTGGATGTGGTCCAGGATCCCCTGCTACACCGAGCTTGTGGCGCAGCTTCGCCGTTGGCTGAGACGTTGGCCATCTGGCCTGCTTCGACAAGACCAAGGAAGCTCTCTTGGCGATGGTCCCCATGGCGCACCCACGGGCAGACATGATGGTTTGCCTTTACACCGACGCAAGTGAAGGCGTTTGGGGCGCGATCGCCACTCAAGTACAATTTGAAGACCTGGCCCTGCCGTTGGAAGAACAGCGCCACCAGCCGTTAGCCTGTCACAGCGTCGCCTTTACTGGCGCAAGCGAGAGTTGCCCAATCGTGGAGAAGGAAGCGTTTGCCGTTGTGGAAAGCTGCAAGCGGCTACACTACATTCTTATCCGCCCAGTTGGCTTCGCCTTTTCACCGACCACAAGAACCTGCAGTACATTTTCAATCCTGCTGGACAGTCCCCAAGCATGGCAAGGTACCAAGCGTACAAGTTGGAGCGCTGGGCCCTGTTGCTGTCCTCGTTCCCTTACACCATCGAGTGCCTGCCCGGTGAAGACGATGTGTGGGGCGATCTGCTCAGCCGCTGAGGCGCCACCCAAGCCCACGTGCCAACAAGTCCGTCCGACGCCTCCTGGTCATGGTGTCGCCCCTGCAGCAGCCCGACTTCGACTGACCCATCCCTGCCGGCATCGTCAAGACACAACAAGTGGCCGTGAAGAGGGGTGAGACCCCGCTAACCGGTGTGGCGTGGAATGAAGACAAGAACCTGTTCATCGACAAGGTGGATCCCACCAAGTGCCACGGACCTCCAGCACCGAGTCTGCATCATAGCGCACCAAGGCGCCGCGGGCCATCGTCGAATCGAAGCCACGACCAAGGCCGCCCGTGATGTCTTCGCCTGAAGCATCCTTGAAGCCGATGTCAAGACCTTTGTCCAAGCCTGCATCTGCTGCCTCAGCGTCGACGGCTCAGTGGTCCCGCGCCCGCTTGGATCGGAGCTCCATGCCGAGAAGCCCCAAGAGCTGATCCACTTCGACTGGCTATCCATGCCCACGGCGACGAACTGGTGGCAGAAGATCCTCGTGATCAAGGACGACATGAGCGGGTCTCCGACAGCGGCTCCCATTTCAAGAACGAAGTCATCGGCAAGCTCCGCAAGGCCGCCGGCGCCCACCACCACTTCACGATCGCCTACTGTCCTTGGGCGAACGGAACCGTTGAACTAGTCAACCGACTGATCCTCCGCGCCGTCAAGACACTTAACAGCGAGTTGAAGCTGCGCGCGACCGACTGGCACCTCGTCCTGGCCCTGGTACAAGGCGCATTGAACCGCTTGCCGAGCGACCGACTTAGCGGCATAGCCCCGGTGACCCAGCAGTTGGTGCAGCCTTATGACTTGTCTTTCCACCACGCTTGCCGACTCAAGATGTATTGCAAAGGCGGCCGCGATGTGACCGAAGACCTGACCGACGATATTGCCTTTGGCAATGAAGGGTTCCACGTCGCCAAGCTCGGCGACGTCCGCCAAGAAAAGTGTGAGCATCAAGCCCTCGTCTACTGGCTTGGCCTCGATGAAGATGAAGCTTCATGGAAGCCCGTGCGCCCCCGCTATGAAGATATCTCCATCGTTTTCCGTCGCTGGGTTCACGAACACGAAGATCAAGAAGAGTGAACAAAATGGCCTCGAAACTCGAGAAGCTCGTCGGGCACTCCCATTAGTGGGGGTGTTTGCAAAAGGTGCATCTGGAAGCATCGGTGGCGTGGAGGGCAAGTTGTCCAGTCACCAGCGGGTCATTCTCTTTGTACTGAAATCTCATGTTGGTAAGTACAATAGCCACAGCGCTGGAAATCACGCGCAGGCTTCGGGCTCAATGTTGGAGCATTCTGAGATGCGTTCGGGGGTCATGGTTGTTTTGTTGACGCGTTTCATTTCCCGTGCTGGTTGAATGTACAGCCGACTGATGTCCCCACGTACATCAGTGGCAATGCGGTGAGCCTCATGTACGAAATCATCCAAAACATCGTGCCGAGGGCAAACAACGCGCTGGTGCCCACCCTAGAGTCCCGATATGGAATACGGGATCATCGTGTCCACCGTGTTCAAGCCGTTCGAGCGTCTGTTCAGCATTCGGCCGAGAGGGGTCGTGTCAAAGAAGGTCATTGGGGCCCCGAGGAAGGCGTACGTGAACTTGTTGAATAGTCCCCTTGATGCTTAGAGTCCGGATCTGGACACCGACAATGTCCCGGAGATCGACATGAGTGTCCTGGCCACCATCGCCAACGACCCGTACTTGCTCAGGTTGAACGCGGTGTTGGCTTGAAACTCAGCCGGGTTGGTGGTCTCAACTGTGCGGCTCCACGCACGAAGCCACAAATCATCCACCACAGCCAGACCGTGCATAAAAACAACGCGAGTGCCCAATACACAACCCCCCAAGACCTGCAAGTAGGCGAAGTTATTCTGCAGCGCGCAGAGCAATTGGGTCGCGCGTCGTTGACCCATTGCAAACACACTCTGTGTGTTTGCAGGTTCCGATACCTTCGTGGCGTGTTTAACCTCACTAATGTCAGTGTTATACTTGCTACCTTGACGAAGGTCCCGTGGCCGAAAGCCAACAAGTAGCGGGACACAAAACAACGATATCTTTAGTTCATTGTTGAGCTACACACCACGACGGATTTTAACACCAGGTGTGACGATGACTCCCCAATTTAACTGTGGGTGATATATGCCCAAGTCCACACTCTAATTGGTACTGGTAGATGCGGGAACTGGGCGAAAACTCATCACAACCAAAGTTACGTAAGGCTAAAATCGAGGCATTAATGGTTGGAGAAAGCAATATCTGGAGTTTCTTCGCAGTCATCCAACTTGTTGGAGAGGGACATTGACTGCTGTACTGACACGATTTCTATCGCTCTCTGCGTCTTGCATCCAGAAATTCGCGCCGTTTTACTCTGAAAACTGAGCAGTTCCGGATATTTCATTACTTTTGCGGATGCAATATTTTTATTGCGCATAACGTTATGCATGTTTTTGTGGTACGGTATGGTGCAAGTAAGTGTGCCAGGCTCAATATATTTCCATACAAAAAGGCCGGTTGGTTTAAATTCTATTACTCGATCAATTTTTCACCAATCGAAAATCTGAACCGTAACTTCTGTTGGGTTTGTGCAGTTCTATCGTTATTAAGGATTATTTTCCTAAAAATATCAATACAAAATTGGAATAGCTGTCGAAGGACACGGCATTTTTTTGTAGTCTTTAGATGACTTGCACCATACTCGGTCGACATGTACAGATATCGAAAATGGACGAACTTTGATGACGTTATTCTCGAGCTGTGTAATACTTAGAGCAATACTACTCGTACTACAAGATAGTCCATTACTAGCTTAGCCTATGCAACATGGTCTGTGCATACACAGCTTTCTCTGGCATGAGGCATCTTACCCGCATGTACATGCTTGCTCTTGAAATACGACGAATTTGGCAAGTTCAAAGTTGACGTTCTCTACAGCTGTTGATTGAGGCGACATGCAATAAGGTGTTGAACCAGGGTTTCCCTAATATGACGTCAAAGTCCTTCTTCCCGAGATCCCACTCGATAAGTATAAAATCTGGGAACGTCATATTGACCAAAGTAAAGTGTGCCAGATACTTCCTTCACTTTCTTGATGCCAGAGCAGTGTCCATCAAAGCCTTCCGCTTGAACTTCCTTGGAACGGATCACTGTCTTGGCCAAACCTGGGCGGCAAAGCAAGTTCGAGGCACCAGAGTCGATCAGGATGCGAACGCTTGTGCTGTCAAGTGCGCCGTGAACAATCCTCAACTTGTTTTCATGCGCTAGTACTGCTTGCTGGGCGGTATTGATGTTAAGTGACTCCTCCTCTGTGGAGACTTGCTGGGCTAGGCCCGTGTTGTTGCCTAGGATCACTTCTTCTACATCTTCGCTGTCTTCTGTGTCGCTGTTGACTTCGGTTACTTGGGCATTGTGCTGACGACTTGGTGTATTGCGCTGGGGTCGCTGAGGCCGGTTGGCATGTCTTGAGATGTTGTTGCGCTGGGGTTGGGTTTGGCTTCTTCCTTGATTGTTCCGAGGTGGAGAGCGGCAGTCACTGATTCTGTGGCCCATGCGTCCGCAGTTCTAACAGGGGCCTACTTGGCGTTGTCCACGGTGTTGTACTTGGGCGTTGTCTACTTCCATGTCGTCATCTTGGCGCTGGCGTGGTGGATACGCATGCAGTGGGCGGCTTCCTTGTTGTCGGTTGTTGAACTGATGGCGGCGATCCTGGCAATGAAAGCGGTCGCGGTCTCTGGCGTGACCACCGTTAGGGTCGAGTTGTGGGAGCGCTCATAGCCCAGGGCAGGATCGCGAGAGTCACAGTCTCGCAACGACGATACTTTGACTCCTCACGGGTTCTGGTTCGCCTTGGAACCAGGACACCTTGTCGCGCTCAGTCATGTCGCACACTTGCGTACAGATTCGTCGGAACTTGGCAACATACTCGGTCAAGCTCGCACATTGGGCTTGATTCAATTCATATAGCTGATCACGCAGCCGATCTTGTAAATCGCCGGGTTGAAACTCGGCTCGCATTCTATGAGGGTATTTGGAGACTCACCGCACGAATGCCGTTCTTGGTACCAGGCTGCGGCAAGGCCACGGAAATTTGCCAGCATCATGGCAATGCATCGCTGTCGAGTCCCATCGTTTTCTTGGTAATCCACGTTCTTTGCCTTGAAAAATGTCGTAACTTGGTGGATGTATAAGCTAATACTTTTGTCCATTCGTCCATAATACTTCGGCATTTTTAATTCTTCAACTTTAAGCTCTGCTTGTCGTGTCGCTCGTTCGATGTGTTGACTGCCCATTCGCTCGCTTGCATCCACTTGATCGGCTTGGGTACGGGTAAGCATTTCCAACAGCTGTTATTGTCGCTGAAAGATTTTGCACAAATCCATCTTGAAATTCTGGTGAAATTGAATTACTCTATTTCGAACTTCGATATACTCTCTTGCATCAGCCTTGATCTTGCGAGCCTTGTGGTACACTTGGATCTTCCGGTCGAGGACTCCTTCAATCAGTTCTTCAATTTGTTCGTTCCGGTGGATCAATAAGTCTGTGCTATCTTGGATAGCGTTACGCGCGTCGGAGTTCTTCGCTTCGGGGATCTGGGCACGCAACTTGTTGATAACCTCGCGGTGGTGCCAGGTGAACATGCAAAGGTCTTTGCGTAGCTTAACCGGCAAATCCAGATAGTCGAGTAATTCCCCGATGTCTTTCGTGGCCGCGAGTTGGGGCTTGCGGGTCTTACTACGGGGCTTACACTAGCAGATCACTCAGAACGTGTATGGATTTTGTTGCTGAGACTATCACCAGATAACGGGTAGCAAAGACCACGTTTTCAAAACTTTCGGCGATGTGTTGTCTCTGCAAACGAACACACAACCGTCTAAGAAGACTGGCTACGTACGGCGGGTTGACGGGGCTTGGGTTGAGGGAACCAGGAAGTGCTACCAATTGTAGCACTGCGGGAGGAAGCGTAGGTAGTTGAGGTCGAAATGCACAAAGAATTAACTGAGGATCTACTAAGATCTCCTAAGTCCTCATCCCTATGAAATCTTCTTAGTCTACTTTACTACTTCTACACTAATATGCACTTTTGTATACAATGGATGCGGGTGCGGTTGAGACATTGGGGGACTTCACTAGGCTAGCGCTTCTAAGCCATACATACCCTTGAGTCACATCCCCAGGCAAGCATTATGTAGGGTGCGTCATGAGCCAGGTACTTTGGAGCTGGGTGCGGGCAAGGTGGTGGCAAGGCGTTACCCCCACCTGTCACATCGCTACACTTGCAATACGGTTCTACAGTATTCCTTGGATTATTTGACTAGTTAGCACTTGTAGCCTGGCATTTTACATGATTGTTTTATCCCTTAGCTCAGTGACGGGCATCATGGCATACAATAACATCGAAAACTCCTGTCACTTGTCATTAAAGTGGCAACATGACATCAAATTGAATTGCATTGTTTTCAGTTTCCAGAATACCCTCATGCACGTGATTCTGTTTTGGCATCTATGATAGATATGATGCTGTATATGGTGCACTTGCATTCTCTCACGACCATTGAGTCTCAAACGATATCACTCGGCACAACAAAAATGCAAAAAAGTGTATTGTACGTGCTGGATTGAACCCACGCGTTTGTACCTACTACAATGTACAGTCACATCCCTAGACCGCTTGACCAATTGTGATGGTTACAATCTATTGCTTTTGCCTGGATTTGATTTAATGAGCCTGGATTTGATTTAATGAGCATGCTCTGCTAGCGCACCGCCTCATTTTCTATAATGGAACTTTTACAAGCAGATATCTCGTTATGTCCACAGGTTCCACCTTATTAGTAGTGTCTCTCATTCAGCGAATCTGGTCGAATCATCGTGAATTTACTGGCTGGAGTTGGGCTTTTTGCGGTCCGAATTATCAGTCCATAACGATACTGGACGGTGTTATCCAACCAGTATGAGGATATTGGTGTGTCGATTTACTGGAATGTGTTTGCCAATGTCCTCGGAAATACAGTTAACTTACTTTCTCTGTTCCGGAATACTTGAGTGAACTTATTGCTGAAACCGTAATTTAGCCTGGACTAAGCAAAATACCGCACAAATAGGCTCAATCGAAAGCCAATCACACGCACTACACATAGGTATTTTTAGGACAATTTTACGAGCAGTAATGCCGGAGCACCAGGACGACAAACTTTTGTTCTGAGCCATTCAAAACTTAAAAACAGCGCAGCGCATTCCGTTCTTGTCCGTTTGGCCTCAAATCGCGCGCATTCGACTCGTCTTCTCCAAGCCAAGCTACCGAAGTTTCTGATGCCGAGGGTGCCGACCGGTCGTGAGCTCACCGACGACCAAAGGTTGGCGGTGTACTACCGCCTTCTCCAACTCAAGACAAACGGACGTGTGAGTCAAGGACAGATGAAACTGCTCATGCATGAGTTCAAGGTCAGCCAGCAAACGATCTCACGCATCTGGACACGTGGTCGCGACTCCGCCGCATCCACCGGGTGTGCCAATTTGTCGTCAAGGAAGAAAGGGCGGTGCGGCGCTCCACCCAAGTACGCTACAACCGACGTGCGCACCATCATTACCAGTACTCCGACAGCCGATCGGTCCACATTCAGGTCAATGTCGTCGTCGACCGGCGTTCCGAAGACGTCGTTGTAGAGGCTCCTTCGTGCCAAGAAGCTGAGTCGCAGGAAAAGTCGACTGAAACCCTCGTTGTCACCTCGAGATCTTGAAGATCGCTTCAAGTTTGTCAAGTCGTTCCTTCGGCCTGGCTTGCGCGGTGAACTCCGATGGCACGACATGATGGATTACGTTCGCATCGACGAAAAGTGGTTCTACATCACGAAGGTAAAACGCCAATGTTACCTGTGGCATGACGAACCTGTTCCCGTGAGGAAGGCGCAGTCCAAGCGCCATATCACAAAGATGATGTTCCTGTGTGAAGTCGCCCGGCCAAGGTTTGACTTTCATGGTCGAACAATGTGGGACGGCAAGGTCGGGCTGTGGCCGTTCGTTGAGGTCGTGCCCACGAAGAGACGCAGCAAGAACAGCGACCGAGGAACTCCCATCACGACACCAATGACAGTCATGAAGCCTGTGTATCGTCAGGTCCTGGTGGGCAAGGGTATCCCTGCGATTCAAGCCCAGTGGCCCTCCAATCGCCATTGACCGCTGTTCATTCAGCTAGACAATGCCAGGCCTCACGTTGGAATTGACGATCCGCAAGTGATGGAAGCGGGGCGCACGAATGGGTGGAGCATTCGACTCACGGCACAGCCAGCACAACGCCCGGACTTCAATGTCCTGGATTTGGGATTTTTCAATGCGATACAAGGCCTGCAGCATCAGACCTCAGCGCGCACCATCGACGACCTCATCAAGTCGGTACAAGACGCGTTTACAGAGTTGCCTTGGCGTGTGCTGGACAAGACGTTCATGACCTTGCAAAAGGTCATGGAAGAGTCCATAAAGGTTCAAGGCGACAATGTGTACAAGCCGGCGCACTTGCATAAAGACGTCCAAGAGAAGGCTGGTGTGCGTAAATTGAGTCCATCGTGTGACCCAGATGTCGTCGCAGCCCTCAAAGCACTGGAGAGTCGCTTGGCTGACGAGGATCTGGTCGACGAAATGGCTGAACTGTTCAACACTTCTAGTGATTTTGCGCAGGTGGAGAATATAGTTGTGGTGTGAAAGATGCTTAGAGTGCCAACTAAATTCTTCATCACATCATGCATTCACTCATCGTAGAATTGTACTTCTGAATAAAAATACACTTATACCTCGAAAATTGATGCATAATGTATACAAATTGCTTGATGTTTAAACCTCTCCAAAACTTCACTCAAGTATTCCGGAACGGAGGAAGTACATTCTAAATAACTCTATCACATACAAGCACTGCCCCGGTAGCTTAGTGGTTTGGACGTCAGAATAGTAACACAAAGGTGGTACAGTACATGGGTCAATTCCGGTGGTGACACGAACTTTTTTCTGTGATCAAAATCAAAAGATTGACTAACATTCACCTGCATACATTCCAATGATAACACATCCCAAGTAAGTTCATCCAGGTGTTTTTGATTCCGAATAGCAGTGCCAGTGAAAAATACTAGAAAGTTTTAGGACTTAAAGTGCATGTGTACCTATGTAGGACCCTCCCGTATGCTCTTTCTCGAAAACTTGGCCCCACAAGCGACGGACGCCGACATCGAAGAAGCTCTTGAACGTTACGGCGACGTCGACAAAGTCATTATCCTCCGCAAGAAACACATCCATAGCTCCCCTTCCGACTCCTCCAAGAACACCCAAAATGCCCTCGTCCAAATGTCCAACTTGGACGACGCCATCGCCGCCCATGCTGGAAACGACCAACCTGTGCTCCTTCAGGTTCTTCCCGGGAGAAATGGGCAAATCAGGATGCCTTAAAGTGGGGAGCAAGCGTAACACTGGGTGGATTTTAAGGGACGCCCAGGCAAGTTTGCTGGAGTGTTCTCGATTTCTCGTTCTTACAGTTTCTGTAATGGGGCACACAGAGGAAGATACGAAGTACATTGTTAACTGAGTGAACTAGCTATCTGTGAGTTGGTTTCCTTGGCGCGCGGCTCCGCGCCAGTCATACAATTCATGCAAATGAATGGTGCTGCTGCGAAGGTTACAGAGCCAGTGATTCAAGACATTTGGATTGCCAAGTGTCCTCTCAGGACAGGATTAGAACTGACCAATGGGATGTCGTGTCTGGATGTTATCCAGACCCCGTTACATCCTCCCACTCAAACTTGATTTCGGTATACTTGGCCGAACGTGGGACAGGGATTGAGAATTCGGGACGACCGTTGTCGTCAGTAGTCATATTGAACGACCGTGTCTTCAGTGGTCATTTTGACAAAAGCAACGAAAGCGAAGGGTGAGCACCTTCCGGACGTCGAACTACGGCGGCAATTGTGGCGAAGCCCGTAGCAGCCGGGGGCGCAGCCAAGAGCGCTCTGGACGGAGCGCTCGTTCTTCGTCGCGCCCATACCATGCCGGATTTTGTGGTGGCCTCCGTAAGTGTGGACGATGTTTTGTCCGCACGAATTGGTCTCCCAGTTGTGGGAGATGCGACCTACCTGATGAACCGGGTGGTGTTCCGAGCGTTGGCTCGAAGCGCGGAAGAGTATGCGCGCATGGAGGAGTGTCAAGCTCCACGCATCGAGTTACTGCGGTAATACCTCGATGGCGTCGAGGTGGTGGTCAATGTTTTGATTGACATGCGTCCATGGCGTGCATCAGCGTTGGAATTCACTGAGTTTTGCGGCGAGCGCAAGTACCGTGGCGAAACCATCGACATTGTGCGGGTCGCTGCACTTCAGGAGGAGGCCATTTGGGAATACGTTGGGCTTTGGTGGGCACGCCTTGTGCGGATGGGGCCAGTACCGAACGTATTCCAGTACCAGCTTCAACTAAGTGTCGTGCCAGAGCTGCCTCGGTTTAGACGGGATTTCGTCCACCAGATCTCCGAGTACTGTCGAAGTCGCGAGAGAGTACGGAGACATGAGTTGGCTGGGATATCCAGTGCTGATGTGCATTGCGTAGGGCCATGAGATGTGATCAGATACAGGGAACTTCAGAATGCAAGGCCGACCGAAGTATTCAACATTACAGCCGTAGTTTTGTCCAATCAAACAATTATTATCCCGCCGGCGCGCAATTCAATAATTTCAAACCAATACTATTCAATGGCACGCATCATGTACCCGATAGCCTTCAAGCTCCAGGCCCTGGGCCTCCTTGAGACAATGAGCGTATATCAGGTCGCTACTGAACTTGGTGTCGCCCGTCTAACTCTGCGAAACTGGGTCATCATACGCGCTCATATCCTTGCCTACAGAGGCAACAAGAAGCGCATGAAACTCACACCTGGCGGCCGACCCGAGGTGTTTCCGGACCCACCTGGGTTGCTTGAGTTTATCCATGGATTACGGGACTCTGAACGAGCCCTTACTACGATCCATATGGTGACGTGGGTGAAGCGCAATCAACGCGAATGGCTTGTGTCGTACTTGGTGGACAAAAAGCCAGGCTGTGGGTACAACTCACTGCTCCTTCTGCTACAACGCTTTTGCAAACGTCATGGAATCTCGCGACAACGACCTGGCATGAGTAAACGAAGCCAAGGGGATCTCGAGGACACTCATGACATCTTTGCAGCTGAATTCCACCGTGATTACCGCGCACATGGAGCGGAGAGCGTGTACAATGTGGATGAGACAGGTTTATATTATGATATGCCACCTAACTACATTTGGGCTGTTCGTGGTGGCAGCTCCAAGATATCCTCAGGAGAGAAGCATTCGATGTGAATGACGGCTGTCTTGACCGCGAAGGCGGATGGGTCCAAACTCGCGATCCTGTTCATCATGAAAGGGGCGCCTGGTGGCCGAATCGAAACTAGCGAGTTTCCGACCTTTCCTGCTGGCCATTCCTATGCAGTCCAAGAAAAAAGCGTGGATGGACGGCCGTGTGTGGAAGTCCTACCTGCGCACCGTCTTGCACGACCACATGGAAGAAGCCTCAGTGATCCTTGTCGACAACTTCGACTCGCACGTGTCCGAAGCATCCTACAAGATCATCAACGAAGAACTCGGGTCGCATCTCTGCCGCTTACCTCCAAACTCAACGTCGATGTGCCAGCCCCTGACGTCGGCGTGATGGCGCCCTTCAAGCGGTACCTACGGGAACTGTTGTTGTTTGCAGACATCATCACAGGAGAAGACGAGGATCCATTTTCACTCACCGCCCGGCAGAAGAGGTTGGCGTTAATTAAGAGAGCTGTCGCTGCTTGGGAGATGGTGTCCACCGACGCTATCCGTGGCAGCATTGAAAAGGCACTTCCTCAGGAACCAATGGATTAATTCGTTTTTATATTATCTGTTGTGAAAGTTCAGTGTACTTGGAAATTGTATGTTTTTTAATAAAATTTGGAAAAAGTTTGACACTCCCCGGGAATTGAACCCGGGGCCTTTCCTGAATAATGTTATGCCGTCGCACTAAACCGTTGCGCCACTGCATCAAACGCTTACGCTTCTTCCGTGTATACCATATAAATCATTGTACAATATTATACCAATAGTTTTAATACCACTCTATTTTTGAATGACCTCCTGAATTACAAGTTTGATTTCTTACAGTCAAACAACATCATTGTAAATTTGACTCATAATTAAATTTCCTCTTTCAAAGGTCTGAATATTATTTTGATGGGCCAACGTCATTGGCAGAAATATACATACACCGTACTTCGAAGTACATTTACCAATCAAAATCTGTTATTTCCATCCCACTCGAAGATAAGGTAGGCCTTGCATTCTGAAGTTCCCTGTACTCGCGGCCATCACGGGCCTAACGCGAGCCCTTCACCTCTGGTGCGGTATATTCGAACGCTGGCGTAGCCCACGACGTGTTGAGGCGTTTGGAAGCTCTTGAGGCGCGCTAGGCGCAGCATGACGCCGTGGTTGTTCGCTTGGCTGCGGTTGAGCGGAAGATGAAGGGACATCGCGTGACGCGACTGGAGCACGATGTCGTGCTTGAACTATTGGCTGCTGTCGAGCGGATGATGCAAGTGACTCCTTCGATATTGGGGTCGGAGGCAGCGGTCCTGCATCGCATGTCGCGGGCTAAAGCGACGCTGAAATAGCACCCGAAGCCACAACACTTGGAGGAGTGGCTATATATATGCGGGTAGAGGTGGTTACTGGCGCAACAAAGTCTGCTGTTAGAACCCTTCATGGTCGGGTTGTGAAGGTGGAACTTGCCCTGCAACAGCACTGTCGAGTGACGCACCACTTGGTGCCCGGCACCAAGTCAATGTCATGCAGTATACCTTTGTCTTTGGGGAGACATTCCGGAACACTGTACGGGAAGACATCTTGGAACTCACGAACCAAGTCGTAGTAGGGGTTCGATTCCAAATCCTTCCATACCGATGAGGAAGGACGAGACACACCCTCCTCGACGTGATCATCTATTGTCGAGGAAATCAGGAGGTCCAGCAATGCTGGCGTTGTCGTGCCCGCGAAGCGCGCGGGCAAACGAGAGGTAACATATCTCTGGTAGCTGAGTAATTTTAGCTGCAGTCAGCGGTAACTCGAACAGGTCGTAGGCTGAGAGGACAAAAGCGTGTGCATCACGCATCGAGCGACCACCTGGGGGTGGAATTCGGACCATCGCCGTTCATGACGATTCGCAAATCATCGCCAAACGTGGCGGCATCGCCAACCATGGCGGCAAGTGTGTCCAACCTCGTAGTCGAAGTGATGGGACGCGTGACTAACGGCGTCACCAGACCAGGCAAAGGAGTGAGTTCATTACTCATCACGCCTAGGTGTGTAGAAAGGTGGACGGGTGCGATCTTGCACATGGTCTTGGATCGCCAATCGATCCAGGGTTGGTGTTTCTCCAACCATCGCATACCAAGGATCAAATTCCATATTCATCGAGGTCAATGACGTAGAATTGTTCGGTTGGTCGACAAAGTCTCCCACTAAGGTCACCAACAAATGAAGCGTGAATACGTTGAGTACAAGCTCTGTAAGTGATCCACTGTCATGGGTTATATCGTGCTGAGCCACCAATTGACCATAACAACGCTGAAATTGATGATTTCGTAAGTATGCAGCGTTGTCGCATACTTACGAAGTCATCAATTGGTGGCTCAACATGAACGAGATCCACTAGGGTACTACCGAAACACCCTCGTTGGTTGCATGCGCTATGGTCCGATGGGCTCAACATTTACTGTACAACACGTACATGCTAAGCCCATCGGATCACTTGCACGCACCGTAGTGGATGTCCTTGCGGACGCCCTGTGCATAGATATAGGAGTGCAAACGGAATACGACCCGAGTGTTGAGGCACATGGCCCCACGATGGGTTAAGTGCAGTGATTTTCTTGCCATGCGTCCACAACTTGCGTCATGCAGTCGTCGTAGTGGAGTCCACTATCATAAGTGGACTCTACTATCTTGAAATATTCTCTTGTGTAGAACTGCACAAGAGTTTTGTATTTAAGATTTGAGCCGGTGGTATAAATATAACGGCCCTCGAAGTCGAAGCGCAGGTCTTCGAGTTGTTCGCAAATGAATGTTTTTCGATGAAACCCCGAAACCCCGTGGACATCCATACAGTCTGATAGCCTGAGTATTCCACCTACACACTAGTCATTCAACAAATATTATCTTAATTTTTGTATTTTGATTTATTAAATACTAATAGTATCTCCAATCCAAAAAATCTTGTGACGAAGTAATTTCCGGATATTGCATTGCATCCGATATATTCCGCATCCACGACCCAATACCATATCGTTACCCTCCAGTAAGTGCACACCGATACGATCAGTCAAGTACTCGATCAGGGCCCAGTTGACTCTGACTGTATGGATGTCCAAAATATGCCCACCAGAAATATGGTCATTCCTCATCCAAACATTGTCCAGAAAAATGGTCATTACTGGGCACTGCACTTTGTCAGAAGGACAGTCGTTGCCGGCCCATGCACATGAGGGTGGGGTAGCGGTGGTATGGCGTACAACCCTGAGTGCATAGTCTACCTTGAACTCGCCATCGTACGTGACTAGAGTCCATATTGGGATCGATGGAGACAATTCGGTGTCGATCCATGTGCAGGGCTCGACCAACCGAAAAGAGGTTGAAGTGTAGTTCTGGGATGGGGTATACGTCCTGCAGATAGATCGCCAACGGGTCGCCGTTCGAGCCAGTGACGTAAAGTCTAACGTCTAACTGTGCCGCGACCTACGACGTGAAGTGGGTGGCCATCGGCTGCACCAGCTAGTGATGAGTAGGCTTCGTATGTGACGAACCATTCTCGTCTGAAAGTGGAGTGCTTGGAAGCACCACTGTCGACTGTTCATGGACAGGAGTCTAGTTGTTGTTCAACTATAGGACTAGTCGGTGGCACACGAAGCCCAACCAGTATGACCGCATTATGAATGTATCAAGGGAGTCAAAGTGTGGACTAAAGTCTTTTAGTATTTTCGAAAGTATTCTTGGAATTATACTTGAAGTGTTGGTAGAGTGTTGTACACTTGAGGAAATGGCACACTTCCACTCTTCGCCAAACGTGACGTGTACATGAGCACACAGCTCTAGAATGTACCATGTATTCGACGTGACAAGGAGAACATTATATCCAAAAATCAGCCGTTTCTGACCAATTTTGGCTAAAACATCAAATAACTCATTTTTATGCCTGTCCTTACCTTTTTGTCGCGCACTGTAGTACCGAAAACGAGACGTGTTATTGTTGTTGACAAGGTGCCGCTAGTCTAGGCAATGACGCCGATTGAATCTCATTTAATCTAGGCAGTGATGCCGATTGAGTCGCATTTTACCTAGTAGATAATCTAGGCATTGATGCCGATTCGTTGTCACGAAATGATGTAAATTTTGGCAAATGTGCCGGTTCATGAAGACTTAAATAATGGGTCTGGTCATGTTGTCAAGAAGTGTCGCTGCGATTTATGCTACGACTACGACTACGATGGTCGTTTCCTCCGGTATTTTCACCGGGGCCACCTTGGTGGATGCCGCGACTGCGGCTTCGCCGGTCATCTTGGACGGGATATAGCTCTAGAGCCAAACAATGATAACCATCATCGAAGAAATCATTGGGCTGATCGCGCGAGGGGCTCCGATCACCGTGGTGGTGAAACGGACTTTCGTCACGTTGATCGCGTCGGTCCGAAGACGCAACTCATTTTCGGCCGCCTTGGGTGTAGCCTTATTGGAAATGGCTGCCTTGGGCGTAGCCGCGGTTTGAATAACCGTCGTGGTCCTAACCAGGGCCGCCTTGGGCGTAGCCGCCTCAGTGTTGACCGCCATTGGCAAGGCCTAGTTGGCGTGTGTTGAGCAACGCACAAACATCAACTTATTGATGGGCGGATCGACCGCCGCGTGGGCAATTGGTGGGTCTTTTTGTCGGGGTGGGACGCCTTCAACTTTGGCCGTGTTGGTTCCGTTGGCCACCGCCGTGTGGTGGGAGTTGCCCTGGCGGGACCGCCACCCATTCGGGTGGGAAGTTGAAGTCGCGTCGCACCGCATTTTGGTGGAATGCACGAGAAAGCTTCGTGCAATCTATCGTACATGTGCGCAGTAGTCACAAAAGCCTCGATCTTCGCACGGCATGTCGCGCTGTGAGCGCAACGGGCTGAGACCGGTCGTTTGACCGTAGATATCATAGCTCGAGAGTCGTAAATCACTCGATCGAGTGGTTTCGGGCGCTTGGTCGTAACCATGAACTGGAAGGGCATGAGCCGTCGGTTTGGCGTCCAAGAAATCGGGGAATTTCTGGGTCAGCTCATTCCAATCCTGTGGCACGAGGTCACGCAGCTGGATGTATGGAATGATCGGTGGAGCACCGCGGCATACTTGCAATGCATTTAGGCAGCGCGGACAGCAAAACCGATGCCAGGTAACTGTCCCTAAGAGTCGTGCTCTCGCGTTTTTCAACCACCTTTCGAAATTTGTCGAAAGTGGCCTGGCTGCCATAAGTCGAGCAATGTTTCTCGAACTTTAGGCCGTGGAACTTTGTGTAGACGTCCACGGCGGAAGCAAACTGCTGCTCTTCGCTGCAGAACTTGTCGCGGAGCCACTCGATAATACAATGGGTGCATTTACCGAGGTTTGCAGCCGCGCATAGCGGCGTACTGCCTCCAACGCGTAGACCAACGCGATGGATCGCTGATATCAGCGTGATCGGTTTTCATGAGTTGCTCTAGCGCTGCTTTGGCTGCGCGAGCGCCCAGGAACTTGACCGAATGATGTTTTGGCCAGGTATTCCTTGAAGGGACGAGCAAGCTTCGGCTCCACGTCATCGAGGACTGGTGGCGGGTGTGGTGGCTCAGACGACAGTCGTAGAACTTCGTCGTCGATGTGCCGACGCAGTTTCTTGGCGTCAAAATAGAGGACGCAAAATGCACGCGTCGATCCCTTGATGGACCATTTGGCTTTGACGCCAGTGCATTGTATCGCCTAAGTGGTCAAGCCTTCTCCTTGGAGGGTAATCGTGGTCAACTCGAAGTGCCACTCGTCAAAGTTGTTGAGTCTGCGCAATTGGTGGACGACTGAGAGGGTTGGGCGGGGTGCCACAGCAGAGGATGCGGTGGAGCATAACCAGTGGAAGGGTGCAGAAGCCAGGTGGGAACACTGGGTAGTTGAGGGTGAAATGGAAAGTGAATTAGCTTAGTCAAATGTGAGAAAAACTAGTATTTCATCGCGTCGCGGGCTTGCACAGCACCAGATCCGCCTGGAGGCTGCGGGAAACGATCAAGTTTACAATCCTCAAACGATATGGGTGAATATGATCACTTTGCGGACACCGTTCGGACAATTTCAGTCGGACATACTTGACATTTGTATTCGACAAAAGGGGAACATATTTTGTCCGAATGAAATTGTCCGAACGAATATTTTCGGACATACTTGTGTATTGTATACACCCGCATAAGAACGATCAGCTTTACAGCGAGCGACGACAGAGTATCCGCCCACAAAATTGCGCACACCGCAGCGTAGCGGAGGTCGAGTGTATAATTTTGTGCAGGCGGTGCCTTGGCGAGGAGTGAGCCCCAATCGTGCACTTCACCGAATGTCCATCGATTCCTCTTGTCGGGAAAAGCGGCAGGTAGGCCGCAGGCCATGCCGCTACCCAGACAAGGCCTGTGGTACAACTATTCGCATAATTTATGACAAACATTGATGTTACAGTTAACTTATGTTAACTTGATGCTATATTTCGATGTTATCTTTTTAAATTGTGAAAAATTTATTTTATATTAAAAATACGTAACGGTGTTCTCATGGAATGCAGTAGACCTCTTGTTCAGTGACGAAGTTTCAAGTCAGAACGTGGTTAGTGATCATCCATCAAGGCATTGACTAAGATATGTATAATTGCTCATTTATTTAAATATTATTTATGTTATTGAATATTGAATCAATTCATTATCGATTGCCGAACTGATCATTTGAACGATCACAACAAAACATATGATTTTGAAACCACGAAACGGTAGCATTATTTTGGATCATGTTACATGGACATCACCGGAGTACGGAACATTTGAACCATCATGGGCCCACCAAAAGATGTACTTTTGGGGCTAGGTATTTGCATCAGTTGATGTAGTCATGTCTTTGACACGCTATAGGGACGATCGTTCTCCCTGGTGATGACACCACCGCGAAATTCCATTTGTGTTCGAAGTTCTAAAGAAACCTGTAGCTCAAGACACAAAACGTGCATTCTGCAATGGCTATGCCCCGGGTTCGAGTCCCACTGAGACCAGATCTTCTTCGGGTGCAATTGTTAACAACTAGACCTCTTGTTCATATTGTAGAAATTTTCTTAAAACTAACAGTAAGTATAATCCTATTTAAAAGCACCTACAGAATCGAGCGTCGGCGATCGACTTGGGGAGAGGTCAGCTCAAGTCGCCTCGCACGCCGGACACGATACTGTGCTTGAGCTCGACTCCGCTTCCTCGTTGCCTCGTTGGACATAATACTGTAGCGAGCCAATACACCATGGTAATACACACCATCGGTTCCACGCAGCGGCATCCACGTCATATGTGCGTTAGTTAACGCACAGCACAACCTTGAAATTCGGTCAAAACGAGATTCGTTCCACTTGTACGTCTCACGCATGATCTTCCAAAGGCTGCATATGCGTCCAAAGGAGTTCTCCACCAGGACTCGATCCGATGACACTCGGTCATTTCGTTCAAGCTCTCGTGCAGTAAGAAGGCCGCCTTGAGGTCTTCGCTTTGGTTGCATGGACCGCACTTCGTGTTGGATCCCTTGATAGCCCATGTCCACCAGTATGCTCCACGAGTCTGGATACTCCTCAGCACCTTCGTCGTGATCAACTTCTTCCATCTCAGACGCTGACTTGCGAAGCATGTCTTTATGGACATGCCGGCGATGCATGAACATTGTCACATCCGCAACAGATCCAGGACTGTGTTCGGACATATCAACAGCCACACCTGGGTATGCTACGGAATACTCGAGCTTGAGGCCATACAACTTGTGTTTACCTGAAAAGTAGTGCTTGGCCTCGTCAAATCGGCCCGTCGGACGGTACGATGGCTGGAACTTCACATCGGTGCAGTACAAAGCGGAGGGAAAGTTGTTGAACGTATGTCCGTGTTGAACTTGATAAGTCATGCTGATCGGCTTTACGAAGTGCTCGTACAGAATGAGTTCCACGGTGTCGAAGACGCGGTGGATCATTTTTTCAAAGGTTGGTGCCTTCATCTTGTAGTCGAAGGCGTGTTTGTCATACGCGTTACAATGCTTGAGGACGGACATTGCCATGAAGAATGCATCCTTTGGTGACGTCATAGATTTTCGGCCGCGCCCCATTGTCATGTCGTCACCATGGCTGACTCAACAATGGCCCAAATGGATTCAAACTCGGAAAGAGTAAAGTTTGTCATGGTCGACAGTGACGCATTGCCGCCTTGACTGAAGAAGCTGTCGATGACGGGCGTGGGGGAGTCATCGGCCTCCTCGACATGTTGGGAGTGAGCGTGGTAGACTTGGCTCATCTCATCCAATGCGTGAACGTCGTCGTCGACTTGTTGTTGGAGGCGTGACACGATAGCAAAGGAGTCCATGGGTTTCTTAAAGAAATTGATTCTGAGTTTTCACTGCGCGCTAGGTATTTGGTGTAGAGTCGCAGCAGATATTCAATTATATAGAATATTGTCATATAGGTTGTAAATGCGGAATAGCGTTGCCATATTGTATTTGAATCGGTTTATTCTTCAATGACGCAGTCTTTGATCATTTGTTCAATCTCTTCGTCATTTACATGGTTAATACGATTTTAGCCAATCCTGTCACATTTACTTATTTTAATTCTATATATATATATTGATGTACAGTATTATTGGCAATCACTGATCAAGAAATTTGTAAGTGAACAAGAGGTCTAGTGGATACTTTTCGAAAAAGCATGAAGTCCATACTACGTATACGTTTTGAACAGCGGAATCGAATACAAAGTCGCCTTGCACCAAAACTCGACTCCTTCGTCTAGACATACGTTTATCCTCGCTTATGTCACCAACGATGGCTATGTTCGTCATTTCCCGCAGCCTCCTGGCATAGCGCCGCTTTGGTCAGCGAGGACGGCGCCAACGTCAAGTTGACGAGCCCAAGAGATTCCGGACCACCTGGCCCATCTTGAAGTGCTAGTCGAGCATTTCAAAGAACGAAAACCAAGGTACCGCCACTGTTATGCTGGTTGTACCGCCACTTTTATACTGGTAGAGGAGTTAGCAGCGTCTCTGCTGTGGTTGCCCATGATGGGGCGCGTTGATTTCTGTCCACAATACATTACGTAGTACTACTAATAGTATGCATGTTTCGTGATCGTTTCGTACTCGGAGTAAATCACCATATATCTACGATACAACCAATCGCATTCAAATTTTAAGATAACTTTAGCAAGAATTAGAAAACGTTACAAGTGATTTACGAAACAAAAACGTTTCGAGATATTTAGCTGGTGTATTTTGTTTCGTAAATCGTGTATAATTTCTGATAACGTTACTACTACTACTGTATTAATAGTAGTCATAATACGGTTTTTGCACGTACAAGCCTTATTGGAACGACCGCTGTCGTGCAAATTCGCATTTCGATCAGATTTTGAGCGGAGGACCATACAAAATTCAATTTAATTAAGATTCTTAAGATATTTGTGGAATTTGCACGACACAAGTCGTGCACGAAGCCTATGTTTTCTATTCGATGAATATAGCTCACCGGTACAAGTACTGGGATTTGAAGTCATGGCCAAATCTTGACCAAAAACAGTGTGAATTATCGATGCATTACATTACTACAGTGCGTTGCACTCCAAACTATTTTAGAGTTTGTATGGAGCCATCAATTATCAGTTTTGAAATTTTTTTTTCCAATTGTACAGGTCGACGTTTACTCCTCAGTACTGCCTGCAACCACCCCGTGTGATTGGCGAATCCAATGCTAAAAATATTCATTATGTACTCTGAGCATACTGTTATACTGTACTAGTATCAAACTTGAACAATACCAGGTGGAGCCTTTTCGAACGACATTTTCACCGATGATTCATAAATGGATTCCCAGGCGCTGATGGTTCTCTCCATCATGTGCACCGGGTGCCCTTGGCCACCAAGCGAGGTGAGCTTCTTGTTCGGCGCAGTGGCCAAGTACTTGGCCTTCTTGGTGAGCCAAGTCTGCCACGTGGACCGTGCAATCCCTCAATGGGGGAGTACTCATACGCACGCAGAAGCTTGATTCTGTCCCGAGGCTGTAGCCTTTTTGGACGCGCTGGCGGAGGATGGGTTCTTGCATTTCAAAATTTGAATTATTCGAGATACGAACCAATAGGCGATCGTCATGCAGATTACCTTTTGCTATCAAATCAGCAGCTACAGTAAGTAGGTCATAATTTTGCATTTTCGTCCCGACAAACTTGGATAGTTGTGAACAATGGACTTAAGAGTACACACATCGTTTCCAACATGATTGTACTCCACGTTAATCAACTAACGTTATAAGTTATTACTCGTTAGTCGTTCTACGATTCGCTGACTAAGCGAGCAATGAGTACATTGC